TTAGAATCATTACATCTGCAATTTAATTCATAAAACCTTTTTTTTTTCATTACCTAAAAGTGATCAGTTGGATTCTCATTAATCTCTCATATTTGTCGTGGATTTATTGACTAATATCAATACTACACAAATTTCTTACATTGACTGCTTACTACCTTTAGTTGTAAGTCAACAATGGTATAAGCATTTCTTATTCACTCTTTCTTGTTTTTAAATTTATTTCAACAATGATACAAGCATTTGTTACTGAATAATTGATATAATTTGTTTTAAGTCAACAATGATACATGCATTACTTATTGACTGTTTGATATTTTTAGTTTTGTCAACAATAATACATGCATTTCTTATTGACTGTTTGATATCCTTAGTTTTGTCAACAATGATACATGCATTTCTTATTGACTGTTTGATATCCTTAGTTTTGTCAACAATGATAAATACATTTCTTATTGACTGTTTGTTATCCTTAGTTTAATGTCAACAATTTTACTATTGTGCTTTAAGCTTTAAAAGCCTTCTTAGTGAAAGGAAATGGAATTTTCCACAACTAGAATGACTTATGACCAAGAGGGAGATCCGGTCATTGCAGGTGATGGTTGGCTGAGAATGTTTGAGTTTAGGATAATTTTTCGCCTAGATGTCAGACTTTTGCTGATGCTGCAAAAGTCAATGACTTCTATCTCATTATAACTGATGACTCACAAAGAAGAACTACCAATATCTGGAGTACTCGGAACAAGTTCTTTCCCTGATGACTAACCTCAGTTTGAGGAAAACATGGATAACCGAGGATTATGTGGTGTCTGGTAAGTCTGTAGACCAAACAAAGCAGTCTGTATAGTACTCCAGGACTTTCAGCATCAATAATAACTCAATTATGATAGTCATGTGATGTCTGTAAAGTCTGGAGACCAAATGGAGCAGTCTGTGCAGTACTCCCAGACCTAAAGCAGCCAGGATAACCCAATTATGATGGTCTGGTAAGTCTGAAGACCAAATGGAGCAGTCTGTTTAGTACTCCAAGACTTACAGCATCCAGAATAACCCAACTCCAGATTTGTTCAAAGCCACCTGAGACTGCAGATGGCACTGGTGTTTTTTTTATATCTTTTGTGCAGCTTCTTGTTGTTAAAGAGTTTTTTTCCATGAATTGCATTTCACTGTTCAAGAAGTTTTTAATTTGTGTTTTTGATTGTATGCTATACTACGATTGACATTATTTTGTGTAACTTTGAAGAGTTTATTCTGTCACAAGATATGTGGATTCAAAATTACTTTAAGTTTTTCTTTTGTATTTTAAAACAAATTCAAGTAATATATTTTGTATATCATGTGGAATTGTAGTTATAACTATGGTGTCTGTATTTTCAAAAATGGTCTATTTAATATGATTGTATGTTTTGTTTTTATACACACCTGTTTTGATACACAATTCTCAATGTCAAATTATGTGTGGAAATTTGCTTGCTATATTTAGTATAGGTTGAACTGTTTGTTTGTTTGTTATTAAGCACAAAGCTACACAAAGGGCTATCTGTGCTCTGCCCACCACGGGTTTTGAAACCCAGTTTCTAACAGAATAAATCCACAGACATTTTAGATTATTTTGGTAACAATGATTGATGTAATGGTAATTTACCTACTGATCTTTGTTATAAGGTTTTGTAAATTGTGTAATTTAATTGTTAAAAGTGTTTATTTAGTTTAATTGTTGTGTAAAGGTATTTAATTATATTTATCATAAATATCATTTATGATATTTCTTTTATAAAGGGTTTGGCAATGTGTGTGTGTTGTATGCTTCTTTGTTAAAGGGTTTATATTTTTTGTATTTTTGTACATTTTTATGCTCAAGAGTACTGCAATGTAATTCTATTTTTAAAAGGCATTTTTCAAAAGTTGATTGTGAATTGTATTTCTTTACTAGGGAGTTGTGATGTCTTGTTTTACATAAGATTTTTCAGAGTAAGAGAAAGTTAGTACACTCCTCAACAAAATTTGGAGTTTAAATCTCTCACAACGGGCTTGTTCCCAGGGGCCAACCTTGTAACCATTTTGTTCTTGTTATAGTTTTCATGCTATAACTTTTAAAACAGTAGGTGTATCTTCATGACATTTTGCATATTATCAGTAAACATTACAAGGCTTTCATATACAAAATATCAGTTGTTTTTAGCTTTAAGATTTTTTTAAGTAATGTTTTCTTATATATTTTTTCTTTTCAAATGTTGACTATCTAACATGCAAAGTAATTTTGATTTTAAGATTAAAAATATTTTTATGCAATAGAACGTTTTCAAATTTCACATGAGAAATCTTTATAATCTCTATATAATTATCAAATGTTTTTCAGAAAAAATTTCATATTTTATCTCTTATTTTCACTATTGTATCTTTGTATGGGTTTGACCAATTTGATTCACCTTGTAACCAATATAAAAAATTAGGAAATAGATATAAATTATGCTTTTTTCATTCTAGAATGACTACAAATCATAACACAAATGTTTAGTCTAAATAGTTTAAATCTCATAATATTGTTACGTCTCTGGTCGTTAGTTCATTTCCCGTATAATTTCTTTCCGATGAAACTTTAGCGATACAAGTCCTTTTTTAATT